CATTCATCTACTGATGGGCACTTAGGCTGTTTCCAGATCTTAGCTATGGTGAATTGTGCTGCTATGAACATAGGGGTGCATATATCCTTTCTGATAAAAATTATTTTTCTTGATTAGGAGAGAAAAGAATGGCTCTTGTTCTAAAAATCCTATTACTGAAAACACCAAGACGCTGTGCCCTGAGCTATAACTTACGGTGCTCTTTGTCATTTTGGTGTCCAGGCGATTGTGGTCCTCCACCCAATTTACACTTCGCTTTTCCAATGAAAGAGTTGGATGAGACAAGCTACAAAGAGAAAACTCGTCTGGCATACAGCTGCCGCCCTGGCTACTTTCGGACCAGTTCGAAAGGTGCTTATATTATCTGTGAAGGAGGCAGTTGGCAACACGAAAACTTCTGTATCAGTAAGTATGAACATTTATTTTCTTATTTGTGCTTTTTCCTTTTTTTTTTTGCAAAGTTGTCTCAGGAACTAAACTTTCTGAATGCAAATAAGAACTCTTGGTCATTGAGAAGCCACCCTGTTTGTCAGTGGCTGATTGCCATATACACGTTGCCACTTTGTGAAAAACAGAGCAAGCCCACAAACAAATAAGTGAAACAGGAAAATTAGGAGCTACCTCGTTGCATTGAAAAGTAAATATTCAGTGAATCAGGATCTGAAATAAGTTTGAATCTGAATCTCTGGTCTTTCTGGAAACAGAGTTTAAAGCTAATCAGTCAGTCTTCCTTTCTAACGTCATATCTGTGAGAACTTGACATCCCTAATCCACATTTTCACTTTTCTCTCAGAGAAAAAATGCAGCAACCCAGGAGAATTACGTAATGGGGAAGTGATCTTGAAGCCAGATTACTCTTTTGGATCACATATAGAATTCAACTGTTTAGAAGGGTGAGTGTGAGGCCATCTAGAAACAACACTTTAAAACAGTTCATAGCTGATGTGCTTATAGATTTCAGAAGTAAAAATGATGTAAAAAAAGTACACACAGAATTCGTGCTTTTACTCTATCGCCAGCCACCCATTCCTCCTGTCCTTCAACAGGCATCTAGTTTGATGAGTTTTCTATGCATCTTTCTAGTGTTTACTTTTACAAATACAAGCTAATGTTTTTATTTTGTACCTTTTCAATCACGAACGTAATTTTCAAATCCGGCTTTATCTTTCTTTATCGATACATACAGGAGACATTTCCATGTTTGTGCATAGAAAGGTTCCTTGTTAATAATTTTTTACAACTACATAAAATTTTATTGTGGGATATAGGGTGGATTAATACTCCCTTTGATGGATCCAGGGGTCTTTTTAATCCTTTGCCATTCTGTACAGTACTCTGTTACATTTACCTTGTACATCTATCATTTTGTACATATGAAGTCATATCTACAGGATAACTTTCCAGAGTGGGATTTCTGGGTCAAAGAATACTTATATTTGAAAATTGGAAAGATATTACAAGTTGTTCTCTCTTGGGGTTACATGGTTTTACAGAATACGCTCATCTCCATCTCTCCTTACACTTTCCAACTAAGTGTGTTGCCAAACTTTTGAAAACTTGTCAATTTTTGGAAATTTTTCCAATTTAAGAGGTAAAAAAAAAATCTCACTATAGTGTCAATGTATATTTCTCTTACTATGAGCGAGGTTGAGCACAATTTTATATGTTTAAGAGATGTTTGTATCTACTTGTAAACTATTTGGCACTGTATTCTCTCCTCCTATCCCTACCCTACTCTGTCTTTTCTGCCAGTAGATTTATGTCATTTGTATGACCTCAGCATGTATAGTTAACATTACTGTTAAATACTCATATATGTCTGTAACTTGATTTCACTCCCAACTCCTGCAGATGAGGAAACAAGAAAGCGGGCTTTGTTTCCATCTCCTGTTACTTGTTACATTATTTTGGCACTGGCAGAGCACATGGCATTTATATTTCATTCAGCCACTCCACTTTTGTTTTTGTTCTAGATCTGCAAGTGCAGTGCTCACTGCCAGTTGTTTTGTGGTTTTGCTTTTGCTGAAATTTCCTATGTCAGTGTGTGGCTGGCTATAGTTTGACTTCTGGTGACTTCCTAAAAGAAAAGCTCCAAGTGAAAATTATTAAGTTCTTGTAGGTTCAATACTGTCTGAGGCCTTGATACTTAAAAGAGAACATGGCCAGATTTAAAGTGTTTGGCTGAGACTGACTGGTGTGGCTCAGTGATTGAATGTTGACCTATGACCCAGGAGATCAAGGCTCGATTCCCAGGGCACATGTCTGGGTTGCAAGCTAGATCCCCAGTAGGTTGTGCAGGAGTCAGCCAATCAATGATTCTCACTTCCCCTCTGAAATCAATAAAATATTTTTTTAAAAATTTAAAATCCTTGGCTGATAATTTCTTTTCTTGACTATCCTATACATATTGCCACATATATTTTTTAAGTGGATGTTGATGTACAGACCTCTGCTGCCTACATATATATATATAATGTTTTTATTGATATCAGGGAGGAAGGGAGAAGGAGAGAGAGATAGAAATATCAATGATGAGAGAAAATCAGTCATCGGCTGCCTCCTGCACACCCCCTACTGGGGACTGAGCCTGCAACTTGAGCATGTGCCTTTGACCGGAATCGAACCCAGGACCCTTCAGTCTGCAGGCTGACACTATCCACTGAGCCAAACAAGTTAGGGCCCTCTCTGGATTTCTTATTCTTAAATGTAACTTGGTCTTTTTTTGGCCATCCAGAGATATTACTTTTTATCTTTGAAATCTAATAATCTTACTCTTAGTTATTTTCATCCAAAACATTGTGTTTAGTTTTTGTTGCTATGTGATATACAAGTTTAAAATGTGGGTTAAGGTATTATTCTACTTTTGTAATGTTTACTTGAAACACATTTAAAATAGCTATTTTGTGGGGGTTTTTTTGTTTCTTCTTCAGGTTCTCCAATTAAGTATACATTGATTCTCCTTTGCTGATCATCTATATCTCACATTTTTTTCTCTAATCTCTTTTGTTATTATTGTTTCATTTTGTTAGATTTTCTCATGTTTATCCTATTTCTATTATCGTGAAAAGCTCCTAAGAAAGAAAGAGAGTCCAGTTGGTGTGGCTCAGTGGTTGAGCATCGACCTATGAACCAGGAGGTCACGGTTCATTCAATTCCTGGTAGGGCACAGGCCCAGGTTGCAGGCTTGATCCCCAGTAGTGGGTGCATAGAAGGCAGCTGATTAATGATTCTCTCTCATCATTGATGTTTCTATCTCTCTCTCCCTTTCCCTTCCTCTCAGTAAAAATATAATTTAAAAAAAAAAAAGAAGGAAAAGGAAAAATTCAGCACTATGGTGCTGTTGGAACATTGATGTGTTCCTATTGAAATAACCAGAAACAGTACTTTTCACTTATGTTCCTGACTAAGCTGGAAACATTGCATTTGAAAGAAACTTAAAGACACCCTTAATTCTCACTATAATTTATCTTATTAAAAGATTCATTTTCTTAAAAACTATTTTTTTAAGTTCTTATTAAATAAACTCTAGGGGCTCTTAAATTGTTGAAGGTGTCATTTATGCTAGTGTTAAATCATATTGTAGGCTATTCATTGATAATAGTACAATTTGAAATCATACAAACAATCCTTTGTTTTTTCTGTTTCTATAATGCGTAGAGGGCAAGAAAGCTTAGAAATCATCAAGAGCATCACAATGGGGCATGTGAACGTGGAGTTTTTGGTGCTAGGGAGAGGGCAAGCTTCCGGAAGACAAGAGGAAACTGTAAACCAGGAGAGTTTGGAGCCAGTAATCTAGCTGGTACTCTCATCCAAGCTGCGTAACACACTCAAATGAGTTTGTTTGTTTTTTTGCCCGATATAGTCGTGCTTGAACTCTGGGTGAACTCCGTGACTGACATCTAGTTGATGTTCAATTATACATTTCAGAATAAGAGAAACCTCACATCTCCCCGCAGTGGTGAAATTTTACTGACTGGAGGGCTCAGTGGGAAGGGTTCTCTGAGCAAACCTTGTTTCTTCATTTTTTAATATGGAGTAACCATTCTATTCGTTTGGACGCTTTTATGTAATTTAATTTGGGGTAGGGACAATTCCATTAAAATCTTTTATCCTATTTTATTCAGGTATGTCTTAGTAGGCCCAACCACTAGTTATTGTGAGGTCCAAGATAGAACAGTTGGCTGGAGTCATAGTTTTCCACAATGTATAAGTAAGTAAAGACTTTTTTTTCTCATTTAACTATACACTTCTACTGTGTTCGGTAATAGAACTGTGCACGTTGGCTGCTTTTTTGTACCACCCGTGAGAATTTGTGTCATGAATGTGCGATGTGGAAAGATACCTCCCCTAATTCTTTCTTCTTCTTCACGTACTCATCCCAGTTGCCCAATGTGAACCTCCTCCAGCCATCAGCAACGGGAAGCACAGTGGTTGGCGTGAAGAGTCCTACCCATACGGCTCCTCTGTCACCTACAGTTGTAACCCCACCTTCTCCTTGGTGGGTGAAGCTTCCATTTCCTGCAGAGTGGAGAATAAAACAAAAGGTGTCTGGAGCCCCAGCCCTCCGACTTGTGAAAGTAAGTCGCGGTTGAATTGCTGGCTTATCCTTTGAATTTTTCTCTTTTGTTTCCAAGAGCAAGAAAGATGAATGTTTTGGGGGAAATGAAATGATGCAAAGACAAACTGCTTCTTGCAATGATGAAAGCCATGTATTTATTTGGTCAACCGATACTGAGGCATGCTGTGCCATTACGTAGTCACAAACAGCACCAATATCTCATTGGCTTTGCACAGTAGGTTGCTTCTCACGCACACTGAGTCTACTGCATGTCGAGGAGACACTCAAGGTGTCTAGTTTAGCAACCAGCTCCGCATTCCAGGTGACACCTCGATATCTACAGGCCCTCTCACAGTGTCTTCAGAAGAGGAAGAGAGAAAAGCAAATTGTGACCTGGCTTTTATGAGCTTTGGCCTGGAAGTAACCACATGTCACTTGACATTGCAGCCTTCAGTCCAGTGGTTCTCAACCTTCCTAATGCCGCGACCCTTTAATACAGTTCCTCATGTTGTGGTGACCCCCAACCATAAAATTATTTTCGTTGCTACTTCGTAACTGTAATGTTGCTACTGTTATGAATCGTCATGTAAATATCTGCTATGTAGGATGTATTTTCATTGTTACAAATTGAACATAATTAAAGCATAGTGATTAATCACAAAACAATATGTAATTACATATGTTTTTCGATGGTCTTAAGCGACCCCTGTGAAAGGGTCGTTTGACCCCCAAAGGGGTCACAACCCACAGATTGAGAACCGCTGCTTTAGCCCAAAACTAGTACTGTGTAGACTCTACCTAAGGGAAGTTGAGAATGTCATCTTTTATCTGTTCAGGAATCCGAGTTGGAAATTTTGGTTAGCGCTTGGAATGTCAACCATATATGCCTACAGGGCAAGCTAAACCCACTAACCACCAGCAGGTCAACAGGGCAAAGCGAGCAGGAATTGAGCTGAAAGCTACATTGTGGTACGACTCGTCTGCTAATCTTCCTCAGCTACCCAGGGCCCGCACACTCTCATTTACTATTCTGACTCCCCACAGGACACAATCAAACCAGGGTACGTGAGGGCACCATACTGCAAACATGCCCGGGGTCTAGACTGCAGGGTGATCATTATCACCCCTGATACTGACAGATACTGAGGCTGGAAAGTTAGCAGGGCTAGGCTATGAAGGGCCTCGTGTGGTTCTCTCAGGAGTTCAGGGCGAAGGTGATGGAGAGACGTTGAAATGGGTTGCATTTCAGAAAGGTAACTGGCTACCGAATGGCCGGCAATTTGAAGTAGGACACAATTTAACCCATAGGCACCATCCAACCAAGAAGTGAAAATGGCTTCAACTGTAGCCATGGCAGTGGGCCTGGAAAGAAGTTAAGGGATTGCCGAGGAAATAAGGTGGCAGGACTTGATTGACTGCTGGGGTGAGGCGGAGGGGCGATGAGGGCAGTTTGTTCTTTGCTTGTGAGGGTGCAGATGTCTGATACGTTCCTTGGCTACCTCATCATCGGGCAGGTCATATAATCCCCGTTGGCCACTGACCCACCCCCAAAATCATCCAGGAAGGTAGGTCATTATAAGGGGAAGATTTGGGGACTTTGGGAATGTGTTTCTCTGGGTCAGATATGACTAGTTTTCCTTGAGATAAATGAGGAAGTGAAGTGATCCAGAGACCTCATTTTCCTGAGGTCTTTAAATATTGAAAAAAGATATACATTTATGTGCCTTTAAAAATGTTTTCCTTGTAGCTGCATGATATGCACTGTATCAGGCTTTTTCCAATACTTGGAATTGGATTGGCAATAGCAGTAATATCCTTATTGCCATTTCTCTTTTATAATCCACTATCTTTTCTTATGCTACTTTTTTTTTTTTTTTTAAGAAATCGCCTGTCCTCAGCCATATGTTAACAATGGAAGGATGGTCTTAGGATTTAGATACTCCTATACTTACAAAGACTCTATTACTTTTGAGTGCAATAAAGGTTTTAAACTCAAAGGCAGCGATTTAGTTCGTTGTGGAGCTGATAACAACTGGAGTCCTCCTCTTCCCATCTGTGAGATCTGTGAGTATGAACCACAAAAGAACTTTAATGTTTGGCATCTAAAGTTACCCAGAAATGTTGATGAGGGCATATTCATATGCCCAAGCCCACTTGCATCACAATAAAAATTTAAAATTTAGAACAATAATTTTCTTTATTTTTTCCTCATGGGAAAAAAGATGTATGACAATACACTGTGCAAGATCACTTAACATGACAAAAAACTGCCACATGCAGTTATGCAGGGTGCACACTCCCTAAGGGGAGCCTTTAACACTGCAGACTCTGTACTATGGATCAGGCTTCTGGCTGAATGGCGCGCCCCCTGTGGGAGCGCACTGACCACCAGGGGGCAGCTCTTGTGTTTTGAGTTTCTGCCCCCTGGTGGTCAGTGCACATCATAGCAACCGGTAGTTCCGCCATTCAGTCTTTTTGCATATTAGCCTTTTATTATATAGGATTCCGTTTTCAACAAAAGTTATCAGAAATGCAAAGAGATAGGAAAGATGATGATGAAAATTGCCTTTGAGGGGGCCCAAATGTTGGGCTTAGCAGAAAAGAAGCTCAAAGCAGTTATTATAAATACATTCAAAGTTTCAAATTACTAACTGATGTCGCTTGCTTTCAGCCTGAAGAAGTCCCTTTAATATGTCTTGTAAGGTGGTCATCTAGCAACAGTAAGATACCACCTTACACCTGTCAGTATGGCTATCATAAAAAAGATAAACTGTCACAAATGTTGGTGAGGATGTGAAAACATTGGAAGCCTTATCCACTGCTGGTGGGCATGTAAAATGGTGCAGTCATTCTGGAACAGAGTTTTGGCAGTTTCCTCAAAAGTTTCAGTTACCCAACAATTGCCCTTTCATTCCAAGGGGAATGAAACAGATGTTCACACACAAACATTTTATGTTAATGTTCACATCAACATTGTTTATCGTTGCTAAGCACCCCAGTGCTTGACTACTGAAAAAAGGATAAACAAAAAAAGTGCTATATTTATGCAGTGGAATGTCATTTGGCAATGAAAATAAATGAAGTACTGACATATGCCATAACATAGAGGAAACGTGAAAACATTATGCTAAGTGAAAGAAACCAGTTACCAAAACCCCCACATATTACATAATTCCATTTATTTGAAAAGTCCAGAATAGGCAAATCCATGGATAAAGTATATTAGTGACTCCCAAAGCCTGGGGGGGAGATGGAAATAGGGAGAGACTATTAATGAGTAGAGAGTTCCTTTTGGGGATGATCAGAATATCCTAAAGTTGGATAGTGAATTCACAGCTCTGTGAATATATGGAAATCATTGGATTGTGTGTTTTATTTTATTTTTTTTTATATATTTTTATTGATTTTAGAGAGAAAAAGAGAGGGAGAGAGAGATAGAAACATCAGTGATGAGAGAGAATCATTGATTGTCTGCCTCCTGCACACTCCCTACTGGGGTTTGAGCCCACAACCCAGGCATGTGCCCTTGACTGGAATCGAATCTGGAATCCTTCAGTCCACAGGCCAATGCTCTATCCACTGAGCCCAACCAGCTAGAGCAGGATTGTGTATTTTAAATGGGTGAATTTTGTGTCATATGACTTAATCTCAGTAAAAATGTTACAAAAGAACCTTAACCTACATATAAGTTAAAATATCTGAAGATAAAAATGTAATAATTATCGAACTCGGCAGATGTTTGTATTATATTTTCATCCTATATAATAAAAGCCTAATATACTAAGTGTCTGGTCGTCCAATTGGCCGTTCAACCAATCAAAGCATAATATGCTAATGATATGTTAAGGCCACGCAACTGCTCACTGTGATGTGCACTGACCACCAGGGGGCAGATGATTCGATTGGTAGGTTAGCTTGGTGCTGGGGTCTAGCCAATCGGGACTGAGCGAGACAGGCCAGACACTCCCTGGACCCCTCCCGCGGTCCCGCCCGGGCTGGCCAATCTCCCACATCCCTCTCTGGCCCCGACCGTGCACCAGTAGGGTTCCTTGGCCTAGTCTGCATCCTCTCGCAATCTAGGACCCCTCGGGGGATGTTGGAGAGCCAGTTTTGGCCTGATGGCGGAACAACTGGTCACTATGACATGCATGGACCACCAGGGAGCAGATGCTCAATGAAGAAGCTGTCCCCGGGTTGTCAGTGCACTCCCACAGGGGAAGCACCGCTCAGACAGAAACCAGGCTCACGGCTGGCAAGTGCAGCGGTGGTGGCAGGAGCCTCTTCAGCCTCCGTGGCAGCACTAAGGATGTCCAACAACAAGAGGGCACAGGCCAGGCTGAGGACCCCGCCCCCCGCCCTGAGTGCACAAATTTCGTGCACTGGGCCTCTAGTATGATATAAACCAGTAGAATCAGGAAAGAGCAAAGAGGAAAAGACAAAGTCCCGGCTCAAAAGATGCTTGGAGTATTTTTGGTCTTGATCAGCCCTTTAATGAGTCAGTTTCTGGCGTCATCTGGATGAGGGGAATGAATTGTTTATTTTTTCCAGTAAGTCAGGAGATAAGAAACTTAGATTAATCTGGGACAGTTCTCCAGCCACATCTACCTAGCAAGGATCCTGCTTTAATTCAGAGACTAAACTTTCTGAAATACAATGAAGAGGAAGGAGAGTTGACATTTGGGTGGTTGGCATGGACACACAGGACCATTTGGTAATATGTTTAGTAGGAACGTCTCTGGTGTTGTGCACATGTCCATTTGGGCACATGTCTATGTGTGTATGTTGGTGTGGCTGATTCACCAGCCATGGCAGGCTGGTTAAGGGCTGAATGAATGCATGGCACCCTTTGATAGGAAAGGCTCATTGATCATGCTGCATCCCTCCTAACAGTGTCCTTTTCCCTTATTCTTCTCTTATGAGCAGATAGTTGTACTAACTTATCAGCTATCCCACATGCTTCTTGGGAAATATATAACCGCCGCCTACCAACAAAAGACGAACTGTATGAAGTTGGGACTGTGTTGAGGTACCGCTGTCATCCTGGGTATAAAACTGCCAGAAATAAGCCTATGACTGTGACTTGTCAGGAAAATTTGGAGTGGACCCCTTATGAAGAATGTGAGGGTGAGTTTCTGTCTTTAAAATACTTTAGTATGTTAAATGTCCAGCATATTCTAGGATTTTCTGCCTTAAATGAATATAGTTGTGTTCCTCAAGTTAAATTTATGATTAGATTAATTCAACAGGATGACAGTTATTGCCAGAAGAGACCATAAAGGGCTTGGAGTTTGAAGAGCTCTCCCGAGTTTTATTTGCCGTGTGTGGGTGTGGGACCAGCTCATTACACATCTCTGCCCTTCCTACCAGTATCGTGGTGGCTTCCTCTTTAATTTCCTAGTTGTAGAACTTCCATTCAGCCACATTGTGGTTGTTTTGAATGATGGTTGTTCTGTTTAGTTGCAATTTTGATGTGGTTGTCCGGGGAGGCAAGTACTACGTTTACTTATGCCACCATCCTGACTGGAAGCCAATAAAAACTTTTGAGAACATTCTTCCTTCTGCGTTTTGGGAAGTATAAGTTATTAGAAAGCTTAATAATGATGTGACCCTAGTGAAGCCATAAGGAGATAAATGTTACTTGTCATTGCTCTTGAGTAAATTTGAAAATTTACATTTTCATCCAGGTTTAATCAAGCTTCTCATTTTGGAGACCCCTCATGCAATTATTTAATTGGAAGGAAAAGACTGGGTTGAACTACTTTAGCAAACCAGGGACAGGGAGCGAGGACTCATGGTGTCTCGGGGACCCTTGTTTGTTTCCCCAACCTCTCTTCTGAGGCGAACTCTTCTTAAGGTGGAAATGAGGTTATTAGCCATAGGAGCCTCCTCATGGTGATTTCACTAACCTCACATTTTATCAGCCTCACTTTTTATTTTTTAGAGGTTTGCTGTCCAGTACCAGAGCTGAAGAATGGCAAAATCATTCCGCGAAGACAACAGAGGAGAGATTTGGCCAATAAGTGTGAATATTTCTATGGAGACTCCATTTCATATTCATGTGATGGGAGACGTAACGCTGAAGCTTCATGCCAAGGAGATGGCACCTGGAGTCCTGAAACACCAACATGTGGAGAGAGTAAGAGCTTATGGAGTTATGTTATTTTAGAAGTTTCTTCATATCAAAGTATTGAATCTATTAGAACTTGCTTCCTTTCTTCTGCTGCCTCTAAGCCCTTCTTCAGCCTATCTCTCAGTGGGAAATGCCTACCTCTCCCTCACCAAGAGCACTTAAGTACCAAACACTATCCTCCCGTCTCCCACTGTTTTTCCATAACCTTATCTGTTGGTGACCGGAAATAATCACAGCTACCTGAATAGTGATTCTTTGCCCTTCCTTTGGAGAGAAGGAGCCCAAAGGAGCTTCAGAGTGACCAGGTATCAGTCACAGTTGAGAAATCAATGGGAATCTTAGCTCCCTTAGTTGAAGTGTTTCCACTTTGCCTAACAGCACTTTTCTATCTGCAGGTCACAGAGTTCAGGGAATAAAAACCCATTTTCCCCAAAAGTTCACTTAGAGTGAATATAAATGGGGCTACTCATGCTTCCATCTCTTGGTTTCTAGGCTCACAGACTCTATTTTTTTTATTGGGAACCCAGTACCATATAAAAGTCGATCTTTGATTTAAAGTGAATACTGTGTTCTTAAAGGTACTGTAAGTAATATTGTAAAGCCCCATTATTGTAAAGTACTGTCTCTCAACTGACACTTCAACTCAGCCTTTAACAGCCATGATAAAGGGGACAGATGAACAGCAGGATGAAGAAATACATAGGGCAAAGTCTGGGAGGGTCCCAAACATGGCGCTTCTGTGCCCATGGAGTTGTGGTTCTTCACCCTCCCGGGGGGTGGAAGTGTTCATGCATCTGGAAGCTCTTTGAACTCCCTACTCTTGGAATTTTATGGAGGCTTCTCATGTAGGCACGATGAAGTATTAATTCGGTTTCCAGGGTCTCTCTGGAAGAGGGGGAGATTCCAAACTTCTAATCATGGTTTGGTCCTTCTGGTGACTAGCGCCTCCCAGGTGACCCAGAGTCACCTCATTAGAATAAAAGATGCTTTTAGTGCTCTTATCATAAAGGAAATTGCAAGGGTTTCAGGATCTTAGTCCCAGAAATTGAGGGGATATTTGTATATATGTATTCCTATTAAGGCATATCATGCCAGCATCTTCTTGCTCATTCAATAGAATTAATATGATGCCACGGATATACTGGATTAATGTGATCTTCTTTATATGTTCAGATGCTCATGTAACTTCAGGCTCTTATGACAGGGGCAGGTGAGTTTTCATAGGACAATAGGACAAGGGTAAAAAGGCAAATGTGTGATCTTGACCTTTTCATGTGTGTGCAGATTGTTTCTGATCTTCTTTTCTGATAGGGTGGGAAAGAAGGCCTTTGCTAAAACAGTGGCCTCATTTCCCTGCAGACATATTAAAGCAAAGTTACCATATCTGGTACATGGTCTGTAGCAGGGGCTAAAATGTTGAGTGTTCAACAGTCTATTGTAATTGTCCAGAATTCTAATTTTTGTAGTAGACAGACTAGGGAAATAAATAGAGATCTGATGACAATGACCACTTCTGCATCTTTAGTTCTCTAAGAGTGGCACTAATTTCTCCCTTACTTGGTTTTAAAGTAAATTTATGGAGTGATAGTTAATATGATATATATTTTAAATTGACTTCCCTTGCTTTAAGAGGGAGGTGTCTGCGGCAGAACAATAGTTTCTACTTGGCCTTTGTGCATGTGATTGCTGTTACCACACAGGTCAATGACCCAATATGGAGAATGGACCAACTACCAATTTTGTTTATTCAGATTATACTTCTGAAGAATATAGAAATGACCACCATGTCATCTATTAGGGTGCCATCAAGGTTCTTCATCCTGATGGCATTGGAGGGCAGCACAGGTACTTGGGGTTGGCTAAGTGATCCCTTGGGCAGAGAAGATGGCAGGACAGGACAGAGCCTACAGAAAGCACACAGATTCTGGGATGTGTTGTTGTTTATGTCCTATAAGCTCAAGCTCTCTCACTTTATGTCTTCCCAACAAGGTTGCTCTTATCCTCCTGTCATTGACCACGGACGTCCTAAACTAACTACACACACATTCTCAGCTAATGAGGCTAACTATGAATGTGACAGAGGATACACTCTGGTTGGAAATCCCACACTCTACTGCAGTTATTCACGCTGGTCTGGTCCGCCTCCTCAATGCAAAGGTAACTCCAGCCCACGGATAAATGGGAGGAACTCTCATGCAGGGATTGAGAATAACGTTTCTCTCCAGTCAGAGGCAGAACAAAAACATATCATTTATTTATTTTAAATAATTACTATATGCAAAAGGCGCCCAAAGCAAACAAAAGTACAAGGGGTATACAGAAACATTAATCTCCCCTATTCCTTCTCCCAGTTACAAAACTCAGCCTCCTTGAGGCAGCCCCTCTTCCACTTTCTTCTATATCTCTGGAAATCATCTACAGGCGATACATTATCCTGTGGCCTGGCGCAAAATTTGCGTATAAGCTTGCTCTGGCATGAAGGTAGGCTCTCAGGGGCTGATTCCAAACACCAGGAAGTGAGCCTCATGCAGTGTAGGGCACCACCTGCCAATGCTGGAGGCCTGTGGAGTGGATTCCCAGTTTGAGAACTGATGTGGGGGTCGGAGGCGTCAAGGTCAGGTTTGTTGTTTGCATGATACAGGTTTAGTGTCACTTTGCCACCAACAACTCCAGGAATTTTTTGTCACCATTGGTTCTTTTGCTCACAAGAGGACAATGGGCAAGAGAGAACATTCTATCCCAGTGATTTGCAGGGATCACAATGGGAGGGACTGTTGCTCTGATGGCTGAGTCTGGGGTCATGTCCTTTTTTTATACCCTGTCATGTAGTTTAAAGATGCTACATCTTCAACAAGTTGCTTAACCTCTCTCTATCTCATTTTTCTTATTTAAATGGGAATAATAACAGTGCTCACTTTGTAGAGAGGAGTGAGACTTCAATGAGATAATCACATAAAATGGTGAGCCCTGAAGAATGATATGATCCAATGCTCAATTCACATGGAAGCTAATATTATTGCTCTCAAAAGAAAGAAGAAAATAAGACAATGAGCAGCACCTACATGCAGTTCATTTGAATAATCCTGGCCTGTGATCATGTCTTCTTTCCTTAGACTCACAGATTGTTAACTGTGCTTTCCTTGCAGCTGTGTGTCCGACACCAGAGATAGAACACGGGAGTCTGCTTGTGGACAAGGATCAGTTTGTTGAAACTGAAAATGTCACCATCCGGTGTGACTTGGGCTATGCTATCGTCGGTCCCCAAAGCATCACCTGTTTGGAGGACAGGACCTGGTACCCAGCG